GCTAGTAAAGTGACCAAAACGCTGGCTTTCATCCATAGATGCTTCTCAAGCAAATCCCGGGACGTCATTCTCCCCCTGTACTCGGCCTTAGTGAGGCCGGAGCTGGAGTACTGTGTCCAGTTTTGGGCTCCACAATTCAAAAAGGATGTGGAGAAGCTTGAGAGAGTCCAGAGAAGAGCCACGCGCATGATCAGAGGTCAGGGAAGCAGACCCTACGATGACAGGCTGAGAGCCCTGGGGCTCTTTAGCCTGAAAAAGCGCAGGCTCAGGGGTGATCTGGTGGCCACCAGAAGTTTATCAGGGGTGACCACCAGTATCTGGGGGAACGTTTGTTCACCAGAGCGCCCCAAGGGATGACGAGGTCGAATGGTCACAAACTACTTCAAGATCATTTCAGGCTGGACATAAGGAAGAATTTCTTTACTGTCCGAGCCCCCAAGGTCTGGAACAGCCTGCCACCGGAGGTGGTTCAAGCGCCTTCATTGAATACCTTCAAGATGAAACTGGATGCTTATCTTGCTGGGATCCTATGACCCCAGCTGACTTCCTGCCCTTTGGGCGGGGGGCTGGACTCGATGATCTTCCGAGTTCCCTTCCAGCCCTGATGTCTATGAAATCTATGAAATCTATAAATTATGTGTACTTTTTCTGGATTGAGCCTTGTATTTACCAGTTATTACTTGAACGAAGTGACACAGAACTGAAACATTGACCCATTTATCCATGACTCTATCTATTCCTCTTACCATATAAATATAGATTAAATGAAACATTATGAAATTTTGGTCCGTATCATAATTACATTAGAATGAAAATTTGATCCTTTTATTGGAATTGAAGGTGCATTTTGAGGCTAGATTTGAAGAATTCCTGCAGTGGACTTATAATTTTGTCTCTTATAACTCACATCACACAGCAGATGTTGTCAAAAGTGTAGCAAAGTTGCAAACACATTTAACTGCAGAGATTTTCAGACTCAAGTGATATTTAAGCACCCAGTTCTTATTGACTTTAAGTGGGAGTTAAGCTATTCTCATCCAGAATGATTTGTTCAGACAATAGACATGGAGGGAGCAATAATAATTGCAATAATAATGATTGCATTATATTTCCAGTGCACATGTAATGGATTGTCTTATGAGAAAGTTGATGAGGAAGGACCAGAAACTGCAGTGCTGGAGATGTTTTTCTCAGGTTATCCCAGAATAGTAGGCATGTCTTTTTTCCCAAATTTAACAACTCTGACTCTCGTTGGACAAAGCATTCAAAAGATTTCAGACCTGGAATATTGCCCATTACTCAAAGAGCTATGGATTTCTGAGTGTTGCTTAACGGTAAGTGAATTCTCTGATTTTTCTTTTCAACTAACATTGGCCAGATTCTGACCCCTTGACACTGAATAGCACATTCCAACCAGTTCACTTGATACCTGAAAGCTTGACTAACATCTCTCCCAGTTATATAGTTGGTCCAATAATCTTAAATCACCCAAAAAAACCCTTCCTTTTCTTTTTCCTCCGTAGGCAGTTTTGTTGACTATTTGAAGACTAAGACCATGCTAATCAGTAAGGGGGACAGAATCTGACCCTCAAATATTTGTAAGCGCACTGGTATTTAGACTCTTTAGGTACAAAGAGTCTCGTATACTCTTTCGGTATAAAGAGATTCCACATTAAATCATGCTCAAGTTACCTATTTTTAAAGCATTGCATTGCAAATGCATCATTTTGTTTCTCTTTTAACCTACCCTCCCCTTTTTTTTAAACCAAGGGGGCCAGCCCATAGCACATGTGCCACAAGCAGCATGGGCAGCCTGTGTGTGTGGCATACAGATTGGGAAGGGGACAGATAGCACAGGGCATGGAGCAGAAAGCAGAACAGCAGATCGGGCAGGGAAGCGGGATTGGAGTGGCACTCTGGGAGGGTACGGGGCTACTTTGTGGCATGCCTGCTGAAAAGGTTGACCCCTACTGTTTTAAACTATGCAGTGAACCCTGTTTTTAGGAAAGTGGCTAAAATAAAAGCTTTGTATTGAAAATAATATTGTTTCCAAAGAACCTCTTTGATATTTATCATTTAAATTCTGCAGCAGCTACTTTCTTTTTTCTTTGTGGACTCAATCCAAAGGCCTGGGAAGATTAAAACAGTTGCTTCAACAAGTAGGAGATCGGGTTGGCTAAGAACTGTCTTTCTGGTCTTCTGTGCAAACCTGTGGTGTTTTGAAGAGCAGAATGCCTTTATTCTCAAGAGCACATTGGTGCTTATTCAAAACTAATGTGTCTCCCTCTGCTGCAGAAAATTGATAACCTGCAAAACTGTGTTGATCTGGAGAAGCTTTACCTGTACTGCAACAGGATTTCCAGAATTGAAAATCTGGAGAGTCTAATCAAGCTGAAAGTAGTTTGGTTGAATAATAATCAGATTAAGGACATAGAGGTGAGTCTTACCCCCTCCCCACCTTAAAATTTCCTCCGGGAGGAGGACGGGATAGTAGTCTGAGATTTAGCTATGTAGTTCTATGGGAATTTATTGGCAGGATGAACTGATCCAGGAACACTGGCATCTGGTAATCATCTCTATGGGGCTTCCCTTGGAATAGAGATTCAGAAGCAGGCAGCACAGCATACAGCTGATTGATGTTCACAGACTGCTGAAGACCCTTGGGTGTGGGGAAAAAATTGCACTCATGGGTAGAAAGAAACCCAGTGTCAATCCTAGAGAGAGGCAACTGGCTGGATTGAAGGGTCTGAATGAGAGGACCCAGTTTTTTGGTAAATCAGATCACATTTAGACACAATATATTCATAGTTACAGATAGGGGAGGAGGAAAGAGGGTTTTTTAGCCATTTCCATGAATATGAGGGAGAAACTGAAGCAGCATTGGAAGTGAAGATGGAATGACTGATGGGAATGAGATATAAAGAAAGGAGAGATTGGGGCTGTGGAGAATGAGAGAAAAGAGTGACTAAGTAATCAGGAAGAGCAAAATCAAAGCAGACCAAATACATTAACGAAACCATTTGTTAGAAATTTCACAGCAAATGACGGTGGTATCTTATCTCTCGGCATTATGGCCGTTGACAGTTGTGGGGGAACCCCCCTCAAAAAACCAGCGCTTTATCAGAAGAGGCAGTGTGTCAGTTTGATCCAGCTCCCCAGCTTCTGTATAGATCAGGGGCTTCAGCAGTGCTTTTTAGCATTCTTATCTAAAGCTGATTCAATCAACTATTAAACAAAAGCACCAAAAAGCCCTGTTGAAGTGCGTGATCTATACAGACGTTAGGCAAGCCGAGTCAGACTAACACTGCCTCTTCTGGGCTGCACATGGGTGCAATCTTGCACCCATGGTGGGGTACTGTGCTGTTGGCTTTTTAAGCAGCAGCTGTGAAGCCAAGGAGCCCCCAGACTAAGACGATTTTCATTGCAGTATAATTTACATGATTTTCCACAATAATTCACACTGAATAACATTCATCGTTGGTCTATTTACAGGTCAAAATAAAGCGTAAAAGAACAAAAATGTATTTTGATCCTAATTTGATTTGCTTTTTTAAATTGAAATGAGCTGCTTTTGATTTTCAGTCTATTTTCTCTTCACCAGTTGCAGTATTGGTGTTGGACTAAAGCTATCTTATTTACAATATTTACAGGGTTTGCACATGCTGCAGAATTTAAAGGAGCTTAATCTTGCTGGAAACTTCATAGAAGCCATTGGTAGGTGATAGTGTTCCAACATAATTATTTTTATGATTATGATGAATAATGTCTTTGTGTTGATCCTGCTTCCATTCAAGTTGATGGCAACTCCTGTTGCCTTGAGAGGTGCAGAGTCAAGTCTTATATGTCCTGTCCTGGTCCTGCTAAAGTTAGTAGCAAACCCTCTATGGCTAATTCACATTTACACTAAGACCCTTTTATGTTCCTTTATCTGTGACTATTTAAGTGGACATCTAAGGGTGTATGCCCCCACTATTTGAGTTGTTCTAATAAAGGATATCAGATTTACCTAAAGAACCTTGTCTGCCTGTGTCCTTGGACCAACATGGCTACAGCCTATACCCCTGCCCCCACTATGGCTTTTTCACACTGTGAGAATGGTATAAAGGGTCCTTGGTGTAATGAGGAGCAAGCTGTTACTGTCCTCAGTAAAAACAGAATCAGTCCCTTTGTGGTAAATCTGTTGGTTTTTTCTCACCATTTATTTTATATATTAATAAAAACATTCTCTATATGTTTGAATGGAAATAAAAAAATTACTTTGTATATTATTTAATCCCTTGTAAGAGTGAAGCATATCTTTGTATGGTTATATTTTGCATGATTATAACTTTGTATCTGATGGAAATGTGAATTTCCCCTAATGGGCAGGGGAAGGTGATGCAAATATACCCCTTAATTTTGCTTGCCCTGGTGTTTTGTGTTAGGAAATTGTTTTGACTTCAACAAGCAAATGGAAATATTAAACCTCTCTGGCAACAGGATATGCTCCTTCAAGGTATGTTCAGGCCTCATGTTTCATTTATATGTTCTTTTAACTATTATCTAGAACTGATTTGTGACACAAAATGGAAAGTAATATGCAGGTCTAATACAAACTAGAAGAGGATGTAGTGTTAATTTTTAGCATTTCTTTTGATATCTCTGTATTACTGGTACTTGTTTATATAGCGGAGTAAATGTGCACAGCAGCATAAAACAGTAGTGCAAGCAGAACAAATAAATGTCCTTGCTCTACAAACTTTTATTATAGTTTGGACTGGTAGCTCTTCCTAATATTAAAATTGCCTGCCAGTTCTCATCATAAGACCCTTTTGCCAGTTGATTATAACTTTGCTAACTCTAGCCGTTTAGGCTGGAAATGTTCCCTGCTGGGTGTCTGACTCAGGCCAAAGGTTTTCTTTATGAAGTGTCAGCCGAACTAGTTAAGCCTTTTCTGAAGATGAGGTTAAGGAACATAACCAGACATTGCAACCTGTTCTTTGAGACATTCTGGTTCACAAACATACTTTGGATCATGGGTTTGCAATCTGGCAAGGAGCTGCTTTAGTTTAGGGAGGTGACTTTGGCTCTTCCTGTGAAATTCCTCCCCTGTTTGGCCAAGTTATAAGCCTTAGAAAAAAAATTTCAGTTTGCACATGCCTATTAGAGACTTAGAATTCAGCTGCTAAAGTCCCTAAAGTTTCCAGCTTCCCTGAGCATGTTCCAATTCTTGCAACTCCCATCACTGATCAGACTGTGCATGTGTCATGCATAAAAGCAGCTGATTATGTCTCATCCTATCCCAGCTCCTGCTGCACGTAACTAGGGCTGTACATATGTCAGCCAAGCAGGACAGCTGGGCGAGCTCCAGCCCATGCCTGTAGCTGCTCAGTAAGATTTTTGCTGCTGTGGTGGTCAGGCTGGGACCAGGCACCCTAACTAAGAGGAGGGACCTTGGCTCTGCTCTGCTGTCAGCCCTGCATTTATTAGTGCCCAAGCAATTTAGAAGAGAAAGGTATTTGGTTCAAACAAAGAAGCAGCAAGAGCCAAAAAATAGGTGTAGAGGAAGATAAGGAGTAGATTGGAAAAAAGTACCTGGGAGATGGAAATGTTGAATAGCTTCTCATTTAGCTTCTCACTGCCCTACCTTTGCACTGAATGGGGCAGAGGCCATGGGAGCAGATAGTATGTGACCCTATATTTAAAAACTGCATTTGCACAGGGGAACCAAAAAAAAATTAAATAAAAGATTGCACAAGCTACCTCATTTCTGTCATTTCCTAACTTGCGTATTTGACGTTACAAAACTTCATACTGATCTTCTAGCATAGGGTATTTTTGTGATGTGATGTGAAGGTTCATGTTTTATACAGATTTTGTCCCCTCTGAAGAAAAGCAGGCAAGCTATCTGTCTGATGTTGATCCCAGGCAATCTGTCATCAAAGAAATTAAACTTTAACGTGCCACTTAGCTCAAGTAGCACTGGAGTAAAGTAGCAGGGTGATTTGCTAGTACTTAATGCTGGACTATAATAGGTAGAGAGCTGTGACTGTTTTGATATAATAACCAACATCAGAATCAGTTGCTGAAAATACAAACTCAAGTTCTATTCTGTTAAATGCAAAAATGAGCACTGATGTTATGTTAATGTTGAGAATTTATGGTGGGGCATATTCACTCCTGCAATGGGCAACTCCAGGATTTTGTAAAGAGCAGTGAACTGTGCTGAAGGAGTGGCTGCATCTCCTGCCCCTCCCTGTCTCCCCAACACCATAGTGGGCAGACCACCCCAGAGGAGCAGGACCACCCCAGAGGAGCAGGAGACTATTTTTAAATCCCTCAAGCAGGTAAAAATTTTCCCTCCCCACTTCCCTAGGCCTCTGTGTTCAGTGGCACATTCCCTCCCCTCCACTTCTGTCCCCCATGAACTGCTGCTGCCACTGTCCCCAGCTAATGGAGGGGCAGGAAGGGGGAGCTCAAGAGTGACTCCTGCCCTGCTGCAGCCAGGCTGTACAAGGAGCCAGGCTCAGCTAGTGACAGTGACAGCAGTGGGTGGGTTCTGGCTGGCAGAGAATATGGGGGACCAAGCAGTAGAGAGGAACCTGTCCACTGTTGCTGCTGTTCCTGGCTGAGCTTGGCTATGCATGGAGCCTGGCTGGAGTGGGCAGGAGCAGCTCTAGAGCTCTGCCCTCATATCTCCAGGACAGCTGGAGACAGCAACAGTGTGGGGGGGATGAGAAGGGGAGGAGACCTGGTATTTGAGCATGGAAGGAAAGGGGGGGATTCTTACTTACTTCCAGGACTTAAAAAACAAGACTCCAACTGCTGCTTCTGCAGCGTGATTAACTGAAAGGAGGGGGGTGTCCACACCACTGTACACCGCCCCCCCCCAATCTACCCTGACCTCTGCTATAAGTGGAATTGTCTCTAGTGACTGATACCAATAATGAATTTATCACAGGGATTATAAGAGTTAAACTTCCCACAGCAACATTATAGCCTGGCCCCTTTGAATTTACATCATGTGTAGCATTTTGTATTATTCTGTTCAGGGAAGCATGTAGTTAACTCCCCACGTATTGGCACAGCCAGATGATTTGCTAATTTGTGGTGGAGCTGCTGGTCTCAGATTTGTTGCTGTGAAGTAGAAGGAGGGTCAAGTTAGGATACTGAGGTTCATATTCTTCCCTCAGAGGAGCAACTTCTTCCTGACAGCTGGAAATAGAATTTCATTTCATAGATGCCTTCCTCTGAGGGCTTATCACTCCCACGTAATTGGAGCAACTCCCAAAATAAGTGGACCCCCTAAAATCTGCATAGGTCTTATGGGGTCCATAGAGGCACAGATTCATTGACATGTAGACCTTGAGACTCTGTTGCCTCCCAGTCTCCCTCCTGCAGCTGTTACTTGGAGAAAACATCATCCACAAGCTGTTGCCCCTACAAAGCTCCTTTTGAAGAGAGTGAGGGCTGGAGTATCACAACTCCAAGGGAGAAACAGGCACATTAACCTTTACAGGGTTAGCCGTTACCTGAAAAGGAATCACAGGTTTGGGGAATGTGCCACCAGAATATCCATCACCTTGATCCGACCTTGCCTTCTCCAGGGCATGAAGCCTTATGGCAAGGGAGTCCCTGCAGGGGAGGATCTTGGGGCCTGGCAGAAAAGGAAAATAATGCAATGCTCCTGCCTTCAGAGACTACCCCAGATCTGCCTAGTCCCACTGCCCCCACCTCCATTGTATGAAGCCTTTAGTGTTAAAAATGGTGACTGGCCTTCGTGCTGAAATGCAAGCTCATTTTAATAATGAGCATGATCATGTTTTGTCTTAGTGTTTTTCATGGTTTTTCAGGAACTTACCAACTTGGCAATGCTCCCTCACCTAAAAGATTTGGGACTGAATGATCCTCAGTATGAACCCAATCCCATCTGCCTGCTCTGTAATTATGCTACTCATGTGTTGTATCACATGCCTCAGCTTCAAAGGCTTGATACATATGATGTATCCCACACCCAAATCAAGGTCCTGGCAGAGGCAAGTATAGATTTTATCCTCTAGCTGTGGCAACAATATGAATGGTCTCTTTTTCTCTAGATCTTTGTTTTTAGTGACAACTAGCCATTGTTACCCAGCTTCTGTCTTTCAGCCAACAGGTGGAATACCTGTTTCAGATGTAATGCTATGCAGTGCTGACAACCTTTGTCATTTGTCAGGAGTCTCAAAATATTTGGTTTTCAAATGATTATGTGAGACTCCCTTCTCTCCTTTAAAAAAATTATGTTTAACCTGAGAGAAAATAATTGAATATATGAACCACTAAAGCTTTGAAAACTGAAAGCAAATGTAAAAAACCCAATTTTTATCTGTCTTTTTTGTTGTTGAAATCTCTATTTGTTTAGAGGCCTAAGTAACAATTTTGGAAGGCCGGGTGTTGTCAGTATTCACCATTATTCTTTGCTGTTGAGAAGCAGAATGTTACTGAATTAGAATTATTTGACTCCCTCAAAAATGTAGTGTAAGCAAAGTCATTTTAAAATGGACTTGCCATTGTTTAAACCAGTGTTGCTCACAGGCTGCAGGGCCCCAGACTGCCTTCACCTAACCCTGGCCAGGTGGAGATGGTCCTGGTTCCTGCTTTGATCCTGATGCAGAAGGTGGCACTGGACCCTAAGGCCCAATCCCACCCAGATGAGATCAGGTTCTGGGGTCTTGTGCCACCCCTGCCTAGACCCCATGCACCAGGATTGCCCCCCCCCCCATGCCTGATATAGCCAAAGGGCTGTGGGGCACCCCATGGACCAGATGACATGGTGCTGGGGGCCAAATTTAGCCCACGGGCTGGGAGTTGAGCACCTTTGGTTTAAACAATCTAAAACAGAATGCCATGTTGCTATGTATACAGACATTATATAAGGTACAAATCTACTCTGCTTTCTACAGGTGTTTATATTAAGAGATTGTAGCTAAAGCAATAATTACAAGAAATACAACAGAAAAATCCAGCATGCAGTTATTTAAAAAATTAAAAGGTTTACTAGTATACTTGCTTATAATTGTCATGTAGAAATATATCAGTTAAGAGCAGAGGCCATGAGAGAATCTGATGAAATATGTGCAATGTTTCCAATATTCCAAGCATAGGACTAAAGACTTTTTAAAAGTTTTGTCCTTTTTGGCTACCTTGTTCATCCTATAATGGAGTAACTTCTTCAAGTCCTTCTGTTCAAGTAAGTTGTTTGTAAAATAAATCATGTCAAATGTAACTCTTAGTTAGAAAAGGATAGCAACAAATATTTACACAGTCTGTCTTTTTTTTTTTTTGTAATGCAAGTCATATGATATGTTTGGGTTTTGAGGCCTGCCATCAGTCTTTTGCCTATAGCACTAGGGACTTTGTATGACTATAGTCATAAATGACAATTTCGTTTTAAAGGTCTTGTACAGACATTTAGTTTCTTCTGGGAGAGCTGCTGCTGCTGTTGTCCCAGGAGAAACCATGGGTATACAGATATTCAGGCTTTTTCTCCCAGACTAAAAATGGCCACTCTAGGAAGAAAATAACCTGAGAACAACCAAGATTAAATCACTCCCTAGAGAGATTCTCCTGGAAGAGCAAATGTGTATACATGCTGTGGTTTCTCTCAGAAGTGAACATAGTCCTCCAGCATCTCTTCTCCACCTCATTCCCAGGAAGACGGTGTGTCACTTACTGGACTCTGCTGCTCCAAATTAATTAATTTTTTTAAGTTCTTGTAGCATAAGACTGTTTTCATTGCCGGACAGATAGTCCATTTTATAACGCCATAAGAATTGAATGTACAGTTCCCAAAGTAATTTTTAAGATTAGAAATGTAAGAGGCAAACCTGAATTCATCAATATTTTGCTATTAAAATATATTCTTAGGAAGAATAAGATACTTGTATTACTGGTCCTATTTTGCTAATGCTATTTTGCTGATTCATAATTTTTCCTGTTGTTTTTGTCACATAAGACTACAGCAATGAAAAAAATAATGTACTACAACATGCGTATAAAGAGTGTTCATAGGCAGCTCAATGAGGAACTTGAAAAACTAAAGGAAAGAAAATGCAAATTACAGAAATTGCCAGAAGATCGAATAAAATTGTTCAGCTGCACCATAAAACACGTAAGTTTAAATAGTTTAAAGTTAACATCAGCGAGATGTATCTTCTGAGAAATGTTGTAATTAAAACATTAGGCAGGAGGAAGAACTTTGGACAGCAGAATGCTTTAAATAGGTATATGTGGCTAATTTCAGATTTCAGTTGTATCTATCTGGATATAAACCAGTTTCAACAAAGCTTTTGTTGCAAAAGGTTTCTTTGATCCAGGTTGTAATGTCTGATCACAAGAGAGCCCCTTTGGCCTAATAAGCATTTATTCAATACAGCTCCAGCAGGAAAGATTGAGAGAGACCTATCCTAGATAGCCAATAACCTGGTGATTGTGGCTCTTACCTGGGATGTGGATAACTGGGATTTGGGTCCGTCCTCTGAATCGATCAGACCAGGGGCTTGAACCTGCATCTCTCACATGTGTTCCTTGACATGTCATGGAACATTCTGGGGTGGAGTACCCTGTTTTCTCAAAAATACTCTAGTCTCATGTTCATCCTTTTACAGAAAATGTTCATAAAATTGGAAAACTGTTTCCTGCCCAGCTCTTGTATTACAGTTTTCTGATTTCAATGAAAACACATTCTCTTCCTGTTCCTTTGCAAACAGCATAAGCAACATATTAGGCAACAGTTTATTTTGTGCTACGCCAGTTAAACCCCAACAATTCTGAACAGCAAAACTTTTTTTTTTACAGTCTGTCATCACCAAATTTTCTATCAGTCTTTAAACATATCTTGAGACAACAAAGGCAGTTGAAGATTGAAAAATAATTCCAGTTTCAGTTGTGGCTGTGTGATAAGCACAAAGAGTGTTGTAGTTTTTTCCAAGGGAATTTACCCAAATTATAAAACCCACCAGTACAGACTGCATCCATCCTCATCAACCCTGGGCTTGCCAATGAGGGCTCAGAATCTGCAGAACTGTTACCATGTGCCAAATCTATTAGTAGTATATGCAGTTTAACACACACAACACAGGCATTTTGTTTTCTCCCTCTAAATGGAAGGAGCATGTTGGCAGTCCAAGGTAGATGAGGACAGATGCAGTCTGTGCTGGTGCAGGGCCGAATACAGGCATGGGCAAACCGGGCGGCTGCCCAGGGCCCAGACAGAAAGGGGGACCAAAGATGGTAATTAAAACATTATTATTATTGTTATCTCTGGCGATTGGGGCCTAATACTAAAAGTTCACCTGGGGCTGCCAGGAGTCTAGGTACAGTTCTGTACTGGTGAGTTTTGTAACAGGGGTAGATTCCCTTGAAACAAACTACAGCACTCTTCATCACACAAGCACAACTGAAACTGGAATTATTTTTTAAATTCCCTTGGAAATAGGTCTTCTTCACTATGAACCAAACTGTGACCACTGTGACCATAGGCTATTCAATTGCTACCATGTAGGAACAGTTTTTGGAAGCTGGTCGCTACAGCACTGATTGTAATAAGGGAGGCATAGCTCGTTGATACTTTTAATCGACTCATTTGATTCTCTTTGGCTCCCCGCAGCACCCACAACTAAAATTACTTGTAACTAATGAGTAGAGGTGCACCGATACATCAGTCTGATATTGGATTGGTACTGATATAAAGAAAACTGGCTGTATCGGATATTGGTCTGATGGGGCCGATGATTTGGCCATTAAATGCCCAGGCAGCGAGGAGCGCAGCCAGCAGCGTGGAGAGCTGGTTAGCTCTCCGGTGTGGTGGAAGCAGAGCTCATGGGGGGCGGGGGAGGCGGCTCCCACTGCTGCTTAGTGGTTCAAGCCTGGGGGGGTGGCTTGCACAGGGGCAGCATGCTCCCCAGATCTGTGCGGGGCGGGGCAGGCTGCAGCCAGGGCTGTGCGGGGCTCTTCTCAGTGGGGGCTGGGCTCGGAGCAGGCACCAGCGGCACTGGGAGGATGCTGCATCCACCCAATTTTGCTGCTGCTCCTTTCCCAGTGCCGCCGCTGCCAGCCGCCAGGTTAAGCCCCAGTCTTCCCAGCATGTGGGTGGAGGCGGGGAGTTGAGCCAGGGCTGCGCCAGGTGGCTGGTGGCGGCAGCACTGGGAGTAGAGTGGCGATTTGGGGTGGATGCAGCATCCTCCCAGCACTGCTGTTGCCTGCTCCGAGCCCAGCCCCCACCAAGAAGAGCCCCACGCAGCCCCAGCTGCAGCCCGCCCCGCCCTGTGCAGATCCGGGAGCCATATGCTCTCCTGGGGTGCAAGCAGCAGCAGGAGCCGTCCTCCTGCAACAAACCGCAGCTCTGGGCCCCGCTCCCGCCCCACCTGGGCAGTGCCTGCCGCTGTCCCTGCCCTCTCCTTCACCACGGTGGGGTGTTAATCTGCCCCCACCATGCCTCTTCCCTCCCCACTCCCCTTCCATCATGCTGGATTTACCAGCTGGAGGCAGCTGTATTGGAAATCGGATCGGTGTCAGCCGATCGGTACACCCTACTAACGAGGTTTAGGTTGATCTAAGTGCCGATCTGTACAGATGTTTGGGGAAGTTAAATTGGGCAAAAAATGACATCCCCAATCTAAATTAGATCACCTGAGGAGGTGGAAGTACATTAGTTCAGGAATGGGTTAGTCTTTTCTAGTGAGTGTCTTCACATGTTTAGAGCACAACGCCGGGACTGGGAAAGCCCAGTTGCCTGCCTCAGCCCTGGGGCTGTGCTCTTCTTACCCCACACCCTGTCCCTAATTGGGCTATTTTTAGCCCTCCAACCTCCCTCCCACCAGCAGACACACCACTCCCAATCTATGATCACCAGGGATCCTGGTTTTCTCTGATAAAAAATCACAAATTCTCTGATTAAAAACCCCAAAATCCATTATTACAATTAAAAGCCCCCTGCAGCCCCCGCTAGCCCTGCTGGTGCCCCCCAATGACCATCCCAGCCCTGCTGGGGCCCCTCACTCACCCCCAAAGCCATCCCAGCCCTGCTGGTGCCCCTAACTCACCCGCAAAGCCATCCCAATCCTGCTGGTGCCCCTCACTGCCCCCACAACAGCCCCCCACCCTACTCATGCCTCTCGCTCCCACCCACAGCTCCTGCCTCCCAGCCCTGCTGGAGGGGGTCCCCAGCTGCCAGGGCTATGGGGCCAGGGACCCAAGCCTACAGCTCCCTGCCCCCAACAACAGGCAGCTGCAGCAGAAGCAGCATGGAGCCAGCTCCTGCACTGCTCTGCCTGCTCAGGTGGGGGGGGGCATCTCCTGGCCCCCCCAGCCCTGCCGGTGCCCCCCAGCCATGAACCACAACCCACAGCCTTGCCAGAGGGGCCCCCAGCTCACTGCAAGCCCCACTTACCTCAGGCTTCAGGAGCGAAGAGTGAAGCTGAGCTGAGTGGAGCTGTGGCTGACTGAGAGCCTCAGGTCCTGCCCTTCCCCCTCCCCGTTCCCCTCCGGGCAGGGCTGGGGGTTTCCCGCCCTGTTTGCAAACAGCTCTTGTAGGCTGGAGCTCAACCAGCCTGCAGAGCTCTTTGCAAAAGCAGGGAATCCGCGGGTTTCTCGGCTAAAAGGAGAAATCCGCATTTTCTCTGATAAAAACAGGAAATCCATGGTTCTCTCTGTTTTTCCGTGGGAAATGGAAAACCAGGATCCTTGATGATCACTCAGTTTAAAGTAAGCTGCGGGATTGTAGACTAGGTGCGGTTGATGTCTGCACGTACCCTAAGAGTATATGGACCGTATTTGATTCTCACTGAAGTTACTAGAAAGCTGTCCAAAGTGGCTTTGAATAAGACCAGCCTTCTAGCTGATAAACACTTGGCTATACAACTTTTAAGCACCTACCAAAATATTATGAGCTAAAATTTTCCTGTAGCATGTTCCCAGGGAGATGTTAAATGGAATGCACTTGTTAAGAAATGGGATTAAATGAGCAGTCTGCTTTTTGTTGAATGATGCCATGCTGAGATTATCAGGCTTCACTACTCTGAAGCTAAACTGTAAGAGCATGTGTGTGTGCGCGCGTGCATTCCTAGATTTCTTTGGAATATAATTTCTCTCTCTTAATTCAGATAGAAATTAAAAACAAACAAACCCTAAACCTCCCTGTGCATTAAATTGATAGGAGGAAACATTCACTTGTCAGCAAAGCTCAAGAAAGAACTCAGTTCACAAAAAGAGCATGCATGTATGTTATCTGCCATCATTCAGTTGTACTCAGTGATTTGTTCATAGTGTTACCTGAGTTACCAGCATCCCTCTGTTCTCACTGTAGTGGGATTTGGATCTATCAAGTAAGAATTTCAAGTAAAGATGTAACTGCTGTGCAATTACAACGCAATTTCAGTCTGAAATGCATCTTCAACTAATAGTAGAAGTAAGATGGGAAAATCTTTCTTTTTTTTTTTCCTGTCTAGTGGATTTTTGACCTTTTATTTTTCAACCATTCACTGAATTGCAGGGGAAATTTATCACTGTGCATCTGATCAGTACAGGACCTGCAAGGTACTTAATCTGTACAGAGATCGTAAGTGGTACCTAAGCGATGCATAGGCCTTGTGTTGTCTCAGCATAAAGGAGTGAATTTCACCTAATGTGAATTTGCCTAAGTCTTAGAGCAGGGGTGCCCAATCCCTGGCCTGTGGAGCCATGCTATCTGGCTCCCTGCAGGCCCAAAAATGTGGCGGTGGAGGAACAGTGGCTGGGTTACCTTGCAGGCCAGATGACATGGCTTCTCAGGCTGAATCTGGCCCATGGGCTGAGGAGGTGGTCTGTGGCCAGGCTGAGGTGGTGCAGAGCTTGATCCAGGTGCACAGACCAGCCTTGTGCTACTCATCTGGCCTGTGGGGCGAAAAGAATGAGCACCACTGTCTTAGAGTCAAGCCAATACTCAAAAGAAATTCAATTGTAAGATCATTCTACGTGAGCCTTGTAGTGCTATGGGTTCAGTCTTGCTCGGGAATAAACAAAAGAGATGAACCCTTGGCTCTACTGCCTTCAAGAGCTGATGAGGCTGCTCAGGTCAGAGTTGGCCATCTTGGTCAGGAAAGGCACAGTGCAACACTGGATTTACTGACAAATTAAGGAAACAATTATTTTAATGCATTAATTCTCTAGTTGATATTTTCAGGTTCACTTCTTAGTGTGATTCTTCAAGACCTGTGTTCCCTGAGAAATAAGTACAGTAAGTTTCCAACCATAGCTTAACTTCACATATTGCCTTTGCATGTCAACACATTTTCTTTTAACAGCTGGAACGTGAATTGGCAGAGCTGCAGACATCAGGCAAAATCCAGAGCAACAGATCATCTGCTGAGAGTAAACAAACTGATATTGAAAACGTGGGTGATGAGAGTGATTACACAGATGAGGCCAATGAGGAGCCAAGTCTTGAGGAGATATTTTCTCAGAAGTTAGATGCTCTGAGAGAAAGGATGACATTCTGGAACAGAAAACTGGATGAGTATGTTCCATGAATTACATAAGAGCTGCAGTTAGAAATATGTGCACTGTTAAACTGTGTGTGATGGTGCTTGGTAGTTTTGATGATAGAATTTGGAGCCTCTCATTTATTTCAAATGACTGCTAAACTGATACTGTTCCAAAAATATTTTAAAGTGGCTGTTCAGTAGCCTCTATGAACTGGGTTACTGAATTAAGGACACTGGTAGGAACTGAACTTGTTACAAGAATGTTGTTAGTGCTTTCAACCAATAGGGCAAGGATTAAATAAAAATATCTAGGGTTAAAACAGTTCCTTAGTTATAGGAATCAGTGCTTGGAAAACTTTACTGATCCCCAAAAAATCCATCAAAATGCCTTGGAAGCTCAGGTCAAACCTTAGCTTCCTGCTATTCTGGGTGCTTACACAAGTGAAGTAACACATGTGCGAGGCTGCAGAGTACTTTTAAAATGGCCCGTTGCATGAAAAATTAACCTTGGTCAAATTAGCTGCTAGATTACGGTGCTGTAAAGCAGAGTGCCTTGGGAACTTGTGTTCCCTTTAGGGTATGTTTTCATGTGAGAGGTGGGGCTGGGCTGGTGTGGACCAACTCAGCCTAGCCCAGCCCTGGGGATGTCAGTAGGGGAGGGAAGAAATGGAGCAGCACCCAGCTTTGGGCTGTTTTGCTCAGCCTGAACTGCAGGGTGGGGTGGAATGGAGCCCTTTCACCTCACTGCTTTTGTCCCCCAGCTACCCCAGCTAGGGTACTAGGGGGAGCTAGGCCAGGCCCACAAGGCGAGGGGGCTCCATTTCACCCCTTCCCCACTCCAGCTCAGGCTTGGCAAAACAAAACGGCCTGTGGCTGGGTGCTGCTCCCTTCCCTGCTGACAGCCCCAGAGCTGGGGGGGAGGGGGGAAGGGCAGTTAAGCAGCCTCCTCCAAGGCTGCTGGAGCACCCTCACCTGCTGGCCAGGAGAGCTGGTGCAGGCAGGCTTGAGGTCCCCCCCCCACCCATCCAAATGTCTGTTGGATCAGGGGTGCAGACGACGCTAACTCATGGTGCTTTGTATAAAGTGCAGCCCCTAACATCTGTAGGCACCCTCTGATTGCCACTCTGCTATTGGCAGTGTAATTCCAGCATAATTTTTGCACTTGTCTTAGAATTCTTGAGTTAGAGACAAGTGCTTTATGACTGTAATCCACCCCTGAGGAGGTGACCAGCACGAGACTCATGTACAACATCTCCCTACAAAAAAGGGCTTTTATAGATTTTATGTGATGGGCTCCATGGTGGGCAGCAGGGACCTGCCTGGAGTTCGGGCTGGCGGTGGCAGGTGGCCGGGAGCTGTAAACAGCTTCACTAGGGTCTGCAGAGTCCTGGCTTGTTGCTGGCAGCAGGTGCACGTGTGCCTTGGGTGAGATGGTGGGAAAGGGGCTGGGGTGCACTACCAGCAGAAGGATGAGGTCCCTTGCAGCTCCCTCACCTCTTCCTTGCCATACTAAGTAGTAGGCCCCTCTTCCCCTCATCTCCTCCCTCTCTCCTGCCTGTCCTGCCACCTTTAGGGGCACTGCACCACTTCCCTCTTCCCCCTCCCCACTTTCTCCACTGGACTGCTCCCCATCTCACTCCACGCTAAACAATAACTGGTAAGGTATTACTGGTTATCAATATGTGAACATTTAAATGTTTAACTGTTCACATCCTTACCACTGACCCAGAGGGACTGGATCATGCATTGAGCAAGAGATGGTTCTCAGAGGAACAGATGAACAATTCATAAGGAAGGGAAATGGGGCATGTGCAGTTTTACTAGACCAGTGGTTCCTAAACTTTTTAGACTAAAGGTTGCCCTTGATAGACTCAAGACACCCCTTGGAAAATGTCACCTCTTAGTTTTCGCTCAGTTTTTTACTACAAAAGCATAACAGAGCAATTCTTCTGTTGCAAAGAATTCAGAAAGACCACAATAAGTCAGAATGGTTTTAACATGATGGATTTTTTTAACCCTTTGGATTTATCTTGTGAATCACGTTTGCATACCTAACAGTGTTAACATTGCATGGCACTCTGTGGCACCCTTAAAAGGATCTCAAGGCACCCCATGGTACCACAGCACCCTGGTTGAAAATAACTGTACTAGACTGTTCAGGTATGGAACAGTTGAGGGAGTTGTGCAAGCATTTGGCCATGCCCTGAAGTTTGGTGTCCTGAGTAGTTGTCTGTATCAGGCCTATATGTTAAGTCAACCCTTTGGTGCTGGCATCTGGACCAGAACAGTTTTCAGTACTGGACAGAAAATGAAACCCCCATGCTGGGGACAGAATGAAAGAATCTCAGGTCAACACGGAATCTTTCTCTACATGGTGGCAAATGCCATATTGTTCCTAAGCATCAGAGTTCACAGAAAAATAAATAGAAAGCAAAATAAAGAATGAAGCTCAGAGTTCTTGCAAAAACAGGATTAATCATAAAAGGCCACCCTAACCACATGCTGTAAAAATTGAAACCAAGACAACTCCGGCCAAATTGACCTTTCTGTTTCTGTTACAGAATTGAAAAAATATACCAGATGGAAGTTAAAAAGAAGAAGAAAAGCAATAGTTTAGTAGTGCAGTTTTTACGGACTGAATTGGAAACAGTGGGAAACACATGTTTTGAAGAAGGTTCATCAACTGATTCCTGGTAAAGCTCTTTGCAAAATAATGTTTTAAGCCCTGTTTCTTACTGTAAAGGTTTGTGATTATTTTTTAACTAGAAAGTATGTTATGACCTGTGGTTCTCTAAAGGAACTGTTTTCCCCAGGTACATATCTAGGTCTAGGCACAAGTCTCATTAACATACAGTGGGAAATAACCCCGCTAGTGCTAAGTCTAAATTTGGTCTCTGTGGTTAAATTCAAGACCCTTATTTTTGTTGGGAGAACTGTGCAGAAGCTTGAGAGAATGAAATAGATTCTTAACCCATGGGTAAAGTATGGAGTGGGCTCATAGCTTTTCCACAGCTTCTACCCCTGGTTAGAGTAAGTGCAATGAGTCATCTGGATTCCTGTAAAGGAGGTTGTGACCAATAAATTGGCCCTTTTCCACCTTCCTCTACACTACCCCAGAAGGAGCCAACATAGAGCCCATGTATCTGGCATGGAAGGTATGGAATGCCCAGTCCCCCTGCTCACCTTCCAGTAGAAGTGGCAGAAAACCCCAGTGGACAAGTATAGAAGAACTGCCTCTTTAATTTTTCATTGTCTTATTCCTTGAAATCTGTCATTCTATCCTTTATTGTTTATGGAAATACCCTGAAATAGCACTTTTCATAAGTTGGTTTCACACTGCTTTGCGATAGGTAATATCATTATTCACATTTTACAGCAGGGAGATTGAGTTCCAGAAGGAATGGAGACAAAGCTAAAACCCACTATAGTAATCCGGCCATTAAGCTACATTGCTGCCTAGTAAAATCATAAAAAGTTGCCTATCAACTACTCTGAGTAACTTTTGGCACTACTTACACCTTCAAAACAAAGAATTCAGTTTAGCTCTTTATTCTAAAGAGCATTTTGAAAAAGAGATTTAGTAACTTTAATAGTCTAAATTAATTACTCGATAAAATGTTCTAGTAGCTGTAATTATGTAAATGAGCTGTTATCTTCACAGTGTATATATAAATATTCAAAAAAATAAAAACATTGTCTAGTAACTTTCTTCTCAGTACATATGAAACTGAAATTATATGGATTTTTTTAGACCTTTCATTGTAAAAGCTATTTCAATTTAGTTTCACTCCGTTAGCACTTGATCGAAGAGTATAAAGTATCTAAAAGTTGATGGGATCCTCACATATATTCCTTGGACAAAACAAGGCTGGAGGTTAGCAGGCTTGATCTTAATCTCATTGAGATCAAGGAGAGTTTTGCCAGTCATTTCAGTGGGTCAGTAGTAGTAAGTAACTGTGGGGCAGAGCTATAGTGCTACCCAAAGGAGCCACAAGTGGCAGATAGTGGAATGACCTTCAGGGAAGGTTAGCTCTGCCATAAGCAGGGGTAACTCTGATGAATAAGTAGTTGTGGACCAAGTAGCAGCAGCACCACCATGTGCTGCTGCTGAGGATGTGTTGAGGACAGTAGATGGCAGTGATTTCCCTCCTGAAAAGCCACATATATCCATTAATGGTGCTTTGACATGGTGATTACAGGTCGCCACTAATATAAGCCTGCCCAGACCCCAGCCATGGGTCTACAAGTCCTCAATGACAGAGCAGGCAAATGAAGATGTTAGATCTTCTGATTGACTATGTCATTGTCTGAGGTCACAACAATGCCTGCATCACCCGAGCTTTGCTAGGAGCTGATGATTGCTGGACTGATCACTGACTCATCTACTTGGTTGTGTCACTCAAACTGGCTCCTAGATGATGGCTACAGCAAAAGCAATGCCAATGAAAGATCACAATTGAAGAACTCAAGGACCCAAGCAAGTGAGAACTCTTCCTTCAGTGCGCCAATGAAAAATTGGTGAATTCCAATCACCAATAGGAGAATGTCAGCAGTGTGTGGGGTATCCTCAAGGGCACCATCATCAGCGCCTGTAAAGAAACACTCGGATTCTCTGCCAGGAAACATCAAGACTGCTTTGATGAGAATGACTGGGAGACCCCAAAGTTGATTGATTATAAGCCCAAGGCCTTTTGTGAATGGCAAAATGACATGCAAAGCAAAAGAAATTGAATCTCTAACAAACCAAGGAAGCAGGACCCGTGATATGAAAAACAAATAGTGGGAAGACAAGGCTAAGGAGATTCAACAGGTCACTGACATCCACAATATATGCGGTGTCTTCAATACCACCAAAGCCATCTATGGACTGAGCACTCAAGGACCAACCTCTTTAAAACCTAAGGGTGGAGGAGACCTGATCAAGGAAAGGGGAGCCATCAATGCCCATTGGAAGGAGCGTTTTGACCTTCTCAATCAAGACTGTTGTTGGTGAGAGTGTTCTCAACTCCATCCCACAACACCCAGTCAGAGATGATATCAGAATCCTTCCAACTCTTGACGAGGTGAGGAAAGCCATCAAGCAGATGAAGAATGGCAAGGCATGTAGAGCGGATGGAATCCCCGTGGAAATCTTCAAGAAGGGGAGAGAAGAGCTCACATCACAGCTTCATGCCGTCATCTTAAGGATCTGGAATGATGAGGA